TCCGTTACAGTTACGTCAAAAAAGAAAGTAATCAGATTATAGGTACATTTTGTGAAAAATGGGAATACTATCAGGATTACATTTTTTCATTTAAAACCAAAGAAATGTATCTTTTGACATAAAACACCAATGACAGCTGCTTGATTATAGTTCTAGTTCTCTCTTGCTAGTCGTGACTCACATGAGCAACCTCCTGGTGTATGCGCAAATAAATTTTGTGCACAGTTAATTTGGTAGAAATGAACACACATTGTTCTCTGAATGATAGCTATAAAGCTATAAAGATCTAGATTTAGAAAGACCTGATATTTAGTACCACATACATGTGAATGTGTAACTCTATGGTTAATATGAGTAGAATATAATATAAAATATAAAATATTATATAGTATAATATAATATAAATTATAACTAAACCCAGGATAACCCAAATGTAGAGAAAAAAAACCATCAGTGGCAGATTGCATGAACATCAGAGTAATGACTTTCATTACAAAGCAACATGATGGTTTAATACATCACTGCAAAAATATCACTGAGACATAAAACCTAACTTTATGGTGATTATCCTATTGTCTGTACTTGACGATATTACAATATATACAATATCAATATCATATAACAGTGTATCAGACCTGAACTTGTTTGTTTGTCATCAAAAATGTTTGTGAAACGTGCCCTAAGATTTGCAATACATTTTTGGACAATACTAAAATAAATTAGAGCATTTATTCAGACATATTTGACCCGAGCAATAATGTACACACACACACACACACACACACACACACACACACACACACACACACAACACACACACAAACAAACAAATAAGTGCGCTGTAGCAAGTTCATACATCTGACACACTGATGTGTAAATGCAAGTGTGATGCCACTGATGATTTGGGTGATATCAAGACAACTTTTCATGAACAATTGTTCCTTCTTGGTCTTGTGCCAATGTGTAATAAAGAGGCGTAACTGTACATTAAGCCTCCATCTCGTGTTCTCTTTTCCCCATGGAAATAATCAGCAGCTCCCTGTGTTCCTTTGCTAAATACAGCTTTCTGTTCAAACATGGGAATGCGTCATCCTGTTTGTGAGCTGTAAGTATAGTTATTGTTTGAGTCTTACAATAATTTATACAAAAGTTGAGACTTTTTCAGTTGAATTGATTAGAAACCAATAAAACCCCCAATTTTTTTTTCTAAAATCACTTTCGAAACGAATGAGTTGTTGCAACTTGATATAAATTATAGAAAATGTCACATACTGTATATGATTTTGAATTGACAGTTTTTACTGAATGGCCACGATAGATTTGTCTTCTTGGATTCTCATATGTGTGTATATATATATATATATATATATATATATATATATATATATGTATATATATATGTATATATAATGTGTGTGTGTGTGTAATTTACATTTCATATTGTTTACCTCTTATGAAAAGAGACAAAGGCGTGAAAAGGAGCTGCTTAATACAAGCATGAAAAGCGGAAGACAAAATGCTGGGCAGGAAGCGAGGCAGCGATGTTCTGTGTACGTTCGGTGAGAATGCTGGTATTTCCATCCTGTTAGTGACTGAATAATCGCATGTTGCCAGAGTGTGCCAGGCCTGAATGTGACCTTTCTAAGGCTTGGAATACATATAAATGCTCTGTGGCGGATAGATTTCATTCTGCACATCTTTTATATTCTAATTTACTGGCAATTTATGCATGCCATGGGAGAGTATTGTCACTGAAGCCTCTCAGATTTGGCATTTGGAACATTAAACACAATGGCCTGCATAAAAGCGGGACTTGTTTAGAGAGACGGATTTGAGGGGGAGAGAAAGAGAGCGACATTTCTCTCTGAGAGTGTGTTTTCTCCTCAGTAATCTGGTTCTCATGGTTCAGAAGCTGAGCTTTAGCCTCCATCATCCCAGTGTCACCTGATTCAACTCAATGACTGAGAGTTTCTCTGTGTGTCTGTGTGTGATGCTTCTCACCTCCGTCTGCCCCTCCTGCTGCCCTCCGGTAGCACTTTTCCACTGGGGCTCGAGCACTGCAGGAGCCTCCTAACTCTCCGGACTGCCTGCAAGCCTCACTGTTATGTATGGATGCATTTACATCAGCAGCCTATTCAACTCAGGACAGCAGTGGTTGCGTTTACATGCAGCAGTATTCATCAACTGGAATGAATTCAGTTCAGCTACAGACTCAAAATAAACGATTTACATTGACTTAAAAACAAGCTGTTAAATGCATGCCACATGTGAGCCCATGTGATGAGCTTGCAATATTTCTAGAGTGGCTAAGTGACTAACCGAGTTTGAGTCTTTAACATTTTAAATAATGTCAGTCTAAGGAAAATGTCCTCCAAATGTCTAGACAAGGAGAAGACTTGTCTTGTGTTATTCAACTTTGAAAAGTTTGTTGGTTCCCCAATTATTTCAAAAATCTTTTAAAGTGAGTAAATTGAGCTTTATCCCCCACCTCCACCCTGTGTGTGCAGAGTTTGCATGTTCTCCCCGTGCTTTGGGGGTTTCCTCGGGGTACACTGGTTTCCTCCCCAGTTCTGTAGGCCAGTTGGCATTTCCAAATTGTCCGTAGTGTTTGGATGTGTGTGCAATTGTGCCATACGATTGGGTGGCACCTCACCCTCTCTGTGATAGTTAGCATGCGCTGTGGCATTAGTGTTATGGTTATAAATGAGGGTGCAAACAAATCTTATTAAAATCCCAATCTTAATTTGGTTCTCAGTGAAATTAAATTCAGGAACAGTGTTTCATTTGCACCCGTTGCATAAAACAGAGCGCCACCATTTCCCTTTTTTACTGTGACCTCTGATCATAGATGACCTAAATGATACAGATACCAGCTAGGGAAGGTGAGGGCTGGCATGTGATTTCGCCAAGACACATAATGCCACCACCGTGTCTTTGAGCTGCTGCCCTCTTCTGCATACACAAGCTCTCAGGTACTCTATTAGTGTTAGTTAGTATCCCCCCACCAAAAAAAAAAAAAAAAAAAAAGTTCCCCCCTCCCATCCAGAGACACAGACAGTTTTGCTCTCTCAGACTCCCAGCCATGGAAGTAAATAGATTTTTATCCCTTTTATCCCTTACAGAATAATTTAAATCAGAATTGCGATCTCAATTCTAAGCAAAAAACGTGCTTGCTATTTCCTCAAGAATTATACAGCGCTAGGTATACATCACAGTGTAGGCATTGTGGATTTAGCACACGTTCAGAACGTGGCAGTCTGAAATTAACCTCTTTCAAATATTTTCATTGGAACCATTCTTCCACTGAACAGATTATCCCCCTCATTTGATTGAATAAAAATTTAAATTGCCCACATTGGGTTTCATTTTGATATAAGGGTATACGATATGGTGTAAAAGTTTTTCAAAAATACGGAAGTTCAAATTTTTTTTAATCCCTATAATAACAAATTAACAGTAAAAAAAAAATGGCATAAACACCTCTTGACTTTAAAATGGTTCTCTATAATACACTGTCCAGCAGTTTTATAAGGAAATTGTCTGGTTGGTTGTTCCTTCTCCAGACTTTGCCTGTCTCACTTGCTTTTGCCTCTGTAGGTCCCAGACAGCCTGATGGTTTTATAAAAGGTCTGTTACTCTGCAATAGTTCTCAATTTCTTGCAAAACGAATGTATGAAATTCAAAAATTTTCTGTTTTCTACAAACACACCAATGCAGTCAAAATAACCATCTAAGTTGAAGTAAATTCATACAAAAAGTTTATTCATGTATTCATGCTAAGTCATGAAATTACTCAACATTTAATACTAACTTTCTTTGCAAATAGTAAAACATACTTTGGATGATGATTACACCAGCCTCCATTTTCTCACCGTGTGTCATCGTTAGAAGGTTACCTTTGCCCGATGCGGTCCTCAGAGTGTGGTGATACTATTGTGAAAGGGAAAAAAGGATCCTTTTTTCTCCCAGAGGACGTCTGAAGAAAACGAGTGCATTCTCTCAGCAGTTAATAACCATTCACACCACCAGAATGCTTCATTACACATCTTGACCTCTATGGCATTTTCTCTTCACTCGGGATTTTACGCCAACTTGGCAAAAATGGTCTGTGTGTGTGAGTGTGTGTAAGTGTGTGTGTGTATATGAGAGAGAGAGAGAGACAGAGAGACGTGGTCCAAAGATCCAGTCTAACTGTCAGGTGGAGTGTTTTGTAATTACTGCAGCTGCAGCTATAGAGTTGAACAGTTCTGCTGGCTGGCTTTATTAGATTCTGTCAAACATCTCTCCCCCACACACCCGCAGATGCACACTCACTCGCTCACACGCGCCCTCTCACACATACATCCAGCCCTCTCTCTCTCTCTCTCTCTCTCTCTCTCTCTTTCTCTCTCGCCCTTGGTTGATAGTGCACCAAACCTGAGACACAGATACATCTTTGCATGTTCTTTATTTATTTCAGTGGAGTTTCTGTTCATGAATATAAAGGAGCAGCAATGTTGCTATCAATTGTCAGTGTCAAGTTGACTTACATTTCTATTTGATAGACGCTTACAAATGTTTGAAACAGCTGAAAGTGATATATAGTACTTGAAAAATGTGTAAGGGTTTACTGTATAACCCGAAAGACTAGAGGATTATAGAGGATAGTGGATTATACAAGCATTAGTAACATCTACAGCTTAGCTGTACATGTTTGTATCTTTACAATTTTCTACTTTTTCAGCGAAATCAGTGGTCAGACCATATGTGAAAAAACCCAACTTAAAGGGAAAGGACCCAAGACATGAAAGATGCACATTTTTTCCCTCAGCTTTAGCTTTAGATACTTACTTTAGTCGCTGTATATTTGAAATGTGAGTTCACAAGCTTGGGTTTTGTGAGCCAGCTGAAAACAAGGGGTGTTATTGTATGTTGCATATTATTAAGTAGATGTCACTGCTGTGTTTTCGTACTGTTGCTTGGCACACATTTCTTGTTACCAATGGTGACATGTTTGGGGTTCCCTGGTGGACTAGTGGCTAGCATGTGGCGCCTTCACCGCCATAGCCCAGGTTCAATTCCCAGTCCGGGAACCGACCCCAGCCACTGGAGGGTTGCACGAGCCAGTGCACTCTCAGTGCCGTTCCTGGGGAGGGTTCCATCAGGATGTGCATCCCGCATAAAAACCTGTGCCAGAATCAAAATATACAGACAGGTAAAAAGAATGCATAAAATTAGAATGGAGGAGGAGATAAATCTATAGCTGTTGAAGTAATGGAAACACTGTGCTGTTTGGACTGTAATGGAAGCTCAATTAACCTTTTCGGAGCCACTAGGTATTTTCACCTTGTGTATCTTGTGGTCACAATAAACCACGTATCCGAACATTCGAAGTCAATTCCAACATAAATCAATAATGACAGTACAGCATGACATGATGCGACCTCAGCAGCAAACCAAACTAAACAGCGACAACCATGACAATCATGGAAACAGTTGAATTCATGATGTACTGGAGTGAAATATATGCTTGCTAGAATACTCACCGTGATGTCTGTAACGTTTTAAAGGGACGTCTTGACTCTGGCCTGCTCTCTAGTGGATAAAGCTTTTAATTCCTAAGAAGCACAAAAGTTATGGGAACGTAAATAAAGTTGTCTGTATACACACTGTACAATTTCAAATTGAATTTAATTTTCAGTAGTTGATAATTCTGGAAATTTCAAACTCTCACAGTTAGTGGATGAATCAGAGTATCGCACACCTGTTAGATACCATTGCTCACGCTTAGCACGGGTTATTATTCCGGTGTGTAGCTCCTGCCAAGGTTTTTTCCTGTTTCAGCTCACCATGGTAGGATGATGAATCACTATCATACAGGCATGTATATTTTTGCAACTCAAACAATCCAGTCTCCATGCACCAGCTCTACTGTGCCATCCTGTTGCCTGTTCTTACTGTTCCCATGTGTTAGTGTACAAAATCAGATAATCTATCTGATTATGGACCGCACAATTGGGCATCATTTGGGCAGTTATAGCCCCAGTCATACTTCACATCTGATGATGATGAAATGAAGATGCATCTGAAATTCGGTCTGTATTTGAAGAATCTGAGGAATGGTTGGATTTCTCAGACATGTCACGCAACATGAGCAGGAAGATCTGAGTTGCTGTGTGGGCGTGTATTTATGAACCAGAGTTTATAGATATGGAGTTAGTGGATTGAAGTCACATTAGAGAAATTCAGGAGTTTATGAACCAGCAGCTTGTTGTTTAACCATAAATTCATTTTTATTACTGTTGCTCATGAAGCAGTCATGTTGTCAGGAGCTTGTATGAGTGCCATCTCTCTGGCTGCTGACTGAAGCTAAATTAACAGTAACATTCTGAGGGAAAGAGAAGCTCAGGCAGTATCAGTCATCTACTGAGCCAGTCACATCTGTGTGTAAAGCTCTCTGAGTCAGCAAGTACACAGTGACCTCGACAACACACACACACACACACACACACACACACACACACACACACACACACACTCACACACTTTTCTCTGCTCTGTCGGACACACACACACACACACACACACACACACACACACACACACACACACACACACACACACACACACTCTATTTGTCCCTGTCACATGCTATCTCTCTCTCTCTCTTTTCTTTTCACTCTCTCTCTCTCTTTCTTTGTGCTGACTTCCAGCTGACACTCAGGCAGCTGTTATTTACACCATTTGAAGCTGTTTAATTTTTATTTCATTTTTTTTAAGCTGAACCTGTATGTCAAAGGCTTATGGCTTCTTATAAAGTCCACTAATAGTAAAGCACTGCTGGCCCGAATGTGTCATGTGTGTTTTGCAGAATCACAAGCCCCTTATTCACCACTCCTTTACAATTTATTGCCCTCTTCATGTGAGAACCAATCATGTCATGGATACAGGCTGTGATTTAAATGGAATAATAGGCGGGGGTGTGGGGGGGGGGGTGGGGGGTGGGGGTGCATGGGGGAGGCAAACGTACCAGGCTGGAGGTTGAACGTCAGGTGAAGTGTTATTTTGTCAAATGGATGATAAGCTTATTAATCCACTTCAGTGCCTCCAATCCAGAATGACACTCGTGACAGCTGTGGGTGGTGATACAATAATCTCAGCCACAGCTGAATCACTGTCGCTCTTGTTTTCATGACCTTTTTACATAGTGACTGCAAATGAGGTGAGAGCTTGTAATGCTGGGACTGAGGACGCCGTTTCATCCTGCTTGCTCCTGAACTTGCTCCTGACGTGGACTGGTCTAAGGATTTCAGAGAATGATGTGTTTTGGCTTTGAGGAAACTTTGGTGTTTCATACAGGATCAAAACCGCTGTGGTAGGTCAGTGTGTAATTAAGTACTGGAGGAAACATTACCGCGATAATTCCATCAGGCTGGAAGCCTTAAAGGAAAACACTAGTGGGTTTCTTCTCAACCTAATCTCTATCCAGTGCATTTGTAGTACATGTGCGATTGATTAGTACATATGAGAATTTTACCATGTTTCTCTGTGCTGAGGAAAGATCAGAAAATCAGTTGACTTTAGAACCCCAAAAGTACAATTTATGTTTCAAGAATTAAAGTCTCACCAGAGCTATTCTTATGTCTTTTTTCCCCCCGATGGTTTAAACACTGGAGTAACTAAGCAATAAAATCCAACTGGGCGTGCTGTTAAAGGAAATCAATCAGAGGGTTGTGTGATGTAGCCTGTTACCACCCTGAATATTATTTTCCTATAATAGTATGTTCCGTAGTGTTTTATTGTGCTTATACTACAAAATTTGCCAATATTATTTGAATATATTAATGAACGGTAATATTTTACCATTTGTAATTTTGTTTATAACGTTTTGATTTTTTTCTTTCTTTCTTTCATTAGATTTCAGTGTTCTGCTTTTTTTCTCAATTTGTTTTATTAAGTCAGGTTTTTTTTCATATCAAGTTTGATTAAAGTGGTTTTATTTGAACTTCTGTACAGCACTTAGTAAAAAAGTTAGTGTTTTTTTGTTATTATTGCAGCCAAAAATGTGAGTTTTTTGTGCTTTTTTTGTGGAAAACTATTTGAATAAAAAATTTAAAAAAAATCACTAAATCCTGAAGGAACTGTTACATGCACTTTAGAAATAAACTTGACTCCATGATTTTTTTCCAATTTAATGTTGCAGCACGTCCGTGAGTCAAGTTAGTTGCATTATGGCAGCTACAAACAGGCGTTCTCTCTCTCGTTTTTTCTCTCTTGAAGTTAATAAAACAAAAAAGCAGTGTGTCATGTTACCAAGAATCCAGAAAGCTCACAGTCCTCTGTCCCTTGGCGGAAAACGTAATCGAGTGTTATATAGTGCCGAGAATCTTTCCATAGACTTCCTAAAACATCCACTTGCAGAAAGCTTCACCATATCAAGGATTATATGCTTTCTTTGTTAACAATTTTTCTAAATCTATTTATGTGGAGCATCCAACATACAAGCCCCTGTGAATGAGGGGTCCCTAAGAAAAGCATGTTGTATAAGAACAAGTGCATTAATAGAAACCTGGCAACTGGAACCACTGTCAGAGCTGCTGTTATAGACAATTAATCAACAGATTCTTTCCAAACAGATTAGAGAATTTAACAGTGTAGTGGTAAAATAAAGCATAATGTAACTGCGTTTTTGTGATATCCATGCGCAATCAGGCAGAAAACAGAGGGAGAGTTTATACTGGTAACACCACAACTTCCCCCTGAAAAAGTAGCCTTTTCCATGAAAGGACAAATGATAGTGCAGAGCGTACTTTAATAATACCATTGGAAAATTCTGGAAAGCATTCTACAAAAAATGTATTTTGCACAAAAAGTCAGTTTCTCTGTGTAGTGAAATGTGTTGAAATTCTTGTCTGTAGTAGATACAGATGAGGTGGAAAACTCTGGACTGTTCCTTTAAAGGCGAATGGACCGGAGGCTCCTCGTGACAATCGCCACCTTCCTGCGTGGGAAGAAAGCCAAATAAAAACAGACTAATTTGAATGCGTGGCTTCATATTCAGATGGCATGGCTTTTCCACAATGACCTCCAGGGGAGCGAGGGTCACACGTCGGACTGTGTTACTTAGCAGATTGTCCTCTGCAGGTTCGCTTCCTCAGCTCTCGCCTCACACTAGCACTTAGCCATCGGCTGTGAGACTGACCTTCATCTAGTAAACAAGTTCAAGCAAAAGGAACATTTAAATGCTTGCCAAATGCCCATTACTCCTCCTGGATGAACAGAGCAAGCAAAGGACTCTGTCTTACTTTTGCTGTGCTAATTCAATCAGTCATTCCTCTGTGCTTTGCTAGCTCTATGGCAAACTCGATTTGCCACGTTATTATGTATCATATTGTCCTCAGTAACTTCTGCCTGTTTGCTTTGAAAATTACTCAGAAATAAGCTGGCCGCATCTCAGATGGATAGTGTTACAGCAGTTTAACTGATCTCAGATGAGGAGAAGGTGGGTCCATTGGACTGGCCGGTGGGGTCTAAGCAGGTCTGAATCAATCCAGAGTCAGGGTTGGTGTTTAACCTTGCTTTCCTCAGCACTGTGTCCTCATAAGCCTGGGGAGAGCACAAACTATTTACTCACAGTGCTGTCGCCCAAAAATAGAGGCACAGTAATCACAATTACACAGCTTGTGGAGGGCTGAAGTGTCATTTAGAAAAATAATCAAAAAGTCATCTCTCTGTGTTTATCCCTCTCTCTCTCTCGTTCTCTCTGTGTGCCTCACTCTCTCTGACTCTCTCTCTACATTTGGCACAGTTTGAAGTAGCCTTGTAAAAAGCCATTAGCAGGGCAGACTAAAGAGCAAAGAAAAGGTTGATAAATGACAGAGAAATTGTTTTTTTTTTTTTTTAAGAGTTTTTTTTTTTTTACCTCAGATTTGTTTGTTGTTTGGTGAGGGGTGTTTTTTTTTTTTTTTTGTGGAGAGTGTGTGTGTGGGTGGATTAAACACACTCCTGCTAACAGAGCTCCATACTGATTGCTGAGACACATGCAACTGGCTTGGAATGGAAAATGTCTTGAAAGATACTTTGATTAAATGGT